ATGTTTATCCGGCCAATGTTTGTTGTAACAAACTCTGCACCATGTATATCTCCTGACTATAAATACAAGACCAGCCTGAGGCAATTACTCACGACAAATCATTTCTTCCAACTCAAGGGATTCTGATTCTACTTCCACTCGATTAAAGCCTAGAGAGTTCGCAAGTTGAAGACCATCACGCATTGCTCTATCCTCCATAGTTGTAGCATCTGGAGCAAAATCATTGTATCTATATTGGGCAGCCAGAAAGTGTCCCTTCTCATCTCGGATTATTACAACTGTTGCTCCTCTACCTGCATCCTCATGAAAGGCAGCCACTTTGACAAACCTTGGTTCCCGCCTCATCCATCTATGCTCTTGTTCCTCCCTGTCTAGACTGGACAGATTCTCAAAAAAGATAAAAAAAATCTAGACTGGACAATTCCTAGTTACCTCCAACGTAAATAACAGAAAATTAAGCTCCACTGTAACTAAGTTGATCTGGGCCATCCGTGTCTCTTCTCCTTGTTCAATCACGGCCGTTCGTTACCTGAACGGGGGTGACGACCGAAGAACGACAGTAGCAGCCATCCGCCCCTGCCACTATCTCCTCCCGCCGCCACGCGCCGCCGCCCCCATCGCCTGCTCGTCGAGTCCCAAGGGGAGGCGCCGCTTGCCGTCGTCCAGGCCCCGGCGCTCCCCAGCCACAGCAGGCCTCCGCTTCGCGGTAGCGGGCCACGGATTGAGGCGTGTCCACTCCCAATCCGGCGCGGACCCGACAGGCCGAGGTGGATTGATTGTCCACGGAGCTGCCCAGCGACCCCGCGCCGCTCACCTTGGTAACTCGATTTTCCGATTCTATTTCCATGTCTGTCTAGTTCGTGCATATCAACTCAGTGTCATGTGTTGCCGCGACTTGCTAACCAGATTAGTTTACCACGGCATCGTAAATTTGCAGGCTGATGAAATTAGAAACATTGGATAGTGGGCTCTCGAATGTCGGGAAAACAAATGCGTCTTCAACTGATTAGGATCCTTAATCATGTTGGTGGTCATTTAGAAAGTTTCATTTTTATAGGTTTGCAGTTGCACTCTGATGTAAGAGAGAGGCTGCCTGAAACCTTGGACCATCTTAGCTAGCATTATAGGTGATTTTGCTTAAAGGGTAATCTGGTTCTCAAATGTTCAATTTGTATTGAATGTTCAATAGTTCTTCTCATTTTTTTTTTGTGTGTGTGGAATTGCAGGCAGAAGTAGCAGTTGTGCCAAATTCTACATTCGTATATGGTATTAAGAGGAGGTATTAGTGGTGGGCTGATTCTCTGGGAGAATGGAACGTAATGACCTTCGGATGACAATCCACTCCCATGACGGCGACATCAACCACAGCCACGGTCACGCCGCTGTTAATCCACCTACTGCGCGGCGCCACCGACCACGCGTCTGTAGCCGCCACCCACGCAAAGCTGCTCAAGGTCGGCACCGCCTCCGCTGTCTCATCTTGCAACCACATCATCGCTGCTTACTGCCGATGCGGCGTCACTGCCCGCGCTCACGACCTGTTCGATGGAATGCCCGAGCGGGACGTCATCTCCTGGACAGCCCTCATGTCCGGGTACTCTAGCACCGGCCGACCTCGCCTTGCTGTTTCCCTCCTCCGTGACATGTCTCACAGCGGTGTGCCACCGAATGCCTTCACCTTCTCGACTGCCGTTAGCGCGTGCGCACGCCTTGCTGATGCTGGACTTGGGCGGAAAGTGCATGCCCGTGCTGAGGTCGAGGGCTATGCGTCTGATGCTGTTGTTGCCACCGCGCTCATTGACATGTATGGCAAGGCCGGAGATGTGGAGACTGCACGTGCAGTGTTTGATGGTATGGCTGCTCCGGCGAGGAATGCAGTTTCATGGGGCTCGATGCTGTCTGTATACGCGCAGAATGCGCTTGGGCGTGAGGCCATCCAACTTTTTGCCGAGTTCAGAACGAAAAGCAATTTCATGGCGCCCAACCACTTCATGCTGTCAAGTGTTGTGAATGCGTGTGCAGGTGTTGGGCGGCTTGGAGTTGGCAAGTCTGTGCATGGGACAGTCCTTCGGTTTGGGCATGGATGCAATGGCGTGATTGTTGTAGGCTTGGTTGACATGTACTCCAAGTGTGGATTCTACGAGTACTCAAGAAAGGTATTTGACAGGATTGAGCATCCATCGGTCATCTGCTATACCTCCATCATCGTGGCAGCAGCAAAGTACGGTCTTGGGAGGTGCGCACTCACTTTTTTCAATGAGATGATCGATCGAGATGTGCTACCGAACAGTGTTACACTGCTTGGCGTCATGCATGCTTGCAGCCATTCAGGTCTTGTTGACACTGGCCTCCATCTCCTCCACTCCATGCAGAGCAAATATGGCATCCATCCATGCGCCAGCCACTACACATGTGCGGTTGACATGCTCGGCCGAGCAGGACGGCTTGAGGAGGCATTTGAGCTGGCCAACGAAGCGCAGGTTGAAGGCCGCGATGCCCTCATGCTGTGGAGCTCATTGCTGTCAGCTTGCCGGACACATAGGCGCTTAGATCTAGCCACCAGGGCTGCCCACAGAGTGTCAGAGTTCAACCAAGATGTAGCAGGTGCACTGGTAGTGATGTCAAATGCATACACTTCAGCCGGCCAGACTGACAATGCTGCTGCTGTATGGTCGAACATGAGACGACGAGGCATACAGAAAGACCCTGGGTGCAGCTGGATTGAGATAAAAGACATACCGTACGTGTTCTACGCCGGATTGGTATCACCCGCCGGTGCAAGGGCAGGTGAAGTGATGATGTTGCTTGATGAGTTAGAGGGTAAGATGCGGGAGAAGGGTTACAAGGGTGGACTAGGTAGTACCAGAGTCTTTGATGCTCATGAAGAGGATGGAGAGGATGGGAAAGGCGAGATGGTTGGAGTGCACAGCGAGTTATTGGCTTTGGGGTTTGGTTTGCTGGTTACCCCCAAGGGGATGACCATCAGGGTGATGAAGAACCTGAGGATGTGCTGCGACTGCCATGACGCGTTCAAGCTCATAAGTGACATTATGGAGCGTGAGTTTGTTGTGAGGGATCTGAATAGATTCCATCACTTCAAGATGGGGTCATGTTCTTGCAATGACTACTGGTGATTCAAGGCTGAAAGCAAAGTGATTGTCAACTTTGTGAATTGTGATACAGAGGGAAAACAACAAATCTTTGAGTATTCCACAAGAAAGTCAAAGGACAATGTCAAAATGTTCGAGTGCACAATGAATCTTGACATTCTTCCAAAGGGAGTCAGCGGCAAGATTTTGTTGACCATAGTCTCCATGGGCATGGACTTATCACATTTGCACAATATGAGCCCGACTTATTCCAACAAATCATTTGAATTCTTTTTAGAAGATATGCAACTCATCTTACAAAACCCAAAAGGTTAAAGTGGTGAGGAACTGGGATTGTCTCTGGCTTTTGGCACTTCATAATTCATACCCTGGTACAGTGTCCAGCATGAGTATCTTATTGTTCTTTAAGAGTATTTCAGTTGAGTTACAAATCTTATGATAGGTCGGGACAATCTCTTTAAATTATTCATGTAATCATGCAGGAACTTACATGCCTTTTTCTAGGTCTGTAGTTTGCTATCCCTGGTGCTAAGTAGCTTTTTGGTCATGCTCTGTTGAATCATAGCTATGGCTTGATGCCTTGGTTTGATCTTTATGCCCGTATTGAATGCCCCGTGATTGTGAATATCTGCATTTTTTTAAGGTTTAGACTGGGGTGTGTATTTACTGTTTATTTGTGACGACGGCATAGATGTTTTTAAGCTTGCTTTACTGCTAAGTATGTTATGTTGATATAATCTTGAGGTGCTAAATATACCGTATATCATTTGAGCATGAAGATTCATTCAAATGAACAAGGAGTCTGAGCCCTGTGCCTTGTGAATGATGTCATATTGTCACATTGTTCATCAGCGAACTCGAGGCACATAGCACCGCATGTTTTATGTAGCTTGTGCTGATTAGTCCAACTAATCCTGATGCCTCATTTTGTGATTAGTTGTTTCGATGGGAATACTGAATTTTTTCCTTGAGCTTAGTTACACAATTTGCATGAACATAATCTCAATCAAATATTAGTTTTTGTTGTCGGTCTGAAAGAATGACCTCATGTGGTTGCTGGCAGGGGTAAGAAGCTGACCACCAAAATGTCTGAGAAAGTGGCAGCTAGAATACTTTTATTTGGAGTTGTGAAGAGTACTGGCCATGTTACAAGCTCATCAGCTAACTCAAAGGCTGGCGAGAGGTTTTCAGCCTATTGCCTGGAGAGATTGTTGTCGCTTCTCTTGATGGATTCGTACGTGATCCCCTTTTATGTCATACTTCAGGCCTACACTAAAAATAATTAATTACTGCTGCCTCTCATCATACAAGGCTGTCATGTTAGTCGAGCTATCGGTTACTGCAGTCATACGCATAATGAACTCGCTGCCATAGTGCTACACTGCTAGCGAGTAGTGAGGTATGCCTCCCAAGAATATGACCATAAAAGAGGGGCGGGGGGCTAAAAACACTTAACTATAGATAGAAATAGTACTTAAAATGTCTGTTCCCATGTGAGACTTCTCTTTTTATTCTTTTAAATATGCACATCAACAGCTGCAGATATTGTTGCATGAAATAAATCTCGTTTGACTGGTTAAGCGATACTTCTTTTGTCAATAAATCAGTTTGATTTTTTTAATTATTTTTGTTGCCAAAAGTTGCTGAAAACGCAGACAAATTTAGATGAAACCAAGATTATTCTAATACTAGTGCTATATAAACCAATATGTTCCCTTGCAGCCTAGGCTTTCCATATTGTTTTGGTGATTGTTCATGAAAGATGTTGTGTGCATTGCTGAAATTCAACAACATTATTTTGTGGTGTGTGGGAGCTTAACTCTGCCAGTTGACTCCTTTCTTGCATAGGTTCTTCTGTTCTTGGGCCATCACTCCGTTTCATTGCGGCCTATGTTGAACACAATGTTGGTGCCACTTGGACATTGTACTATGTATGCGCCAAAGAGCTATAACTTGTTGCAATGGAGCCAGCCACGATGCAGAAGCTTCCAAGAAAAGACACGTGCCAGAATTAACAAAGGTCAACTAGATAATATGGATGTATGCACAGATTGCTTTTTGTGTAGTGCAGAACAGAACTGCAGATAGGTCATTGGTTGCTTAGTTGTTTAACAAAGGAGATAGATGGATGAGGCTCTTCACTTATGGGACTACTGTATGGTACAGAGGTGAAGAGCCTATGAAAAGTGTGAACACAATGTAGTACTGCTGTAGCGTCATATGTTTATCCATTACAAATGTACTGGCCGGTGCCTGCTGCTTTAACATGATTAAATTAATTAATCCTCTCCTTTCTGTGCTCATTAATTCCTGAATATAAGAGTAGTGGTGGTAGTTGTTGAGGAGTAAATAATTAAGCTCAGCTGGGATCTCGTTTGTGCATGTCTAGTCAGTAGTCAACTATCAGTCTTAAGGTGCTCAGATAGTTGTATTCATTCATTCTAATCCATCTGCTGGTTTGTGGAGTTTGGTTTGATCTGGCATATCACCAGCCATGAGTAACTGCTTCGCGAAGCCAACCTCTAGGAGCGAGGGCGAGATCCTCCACTCGGCCAACATCAGGAGCTTCACCTTCAAGGAGCTCAGGACAGCCACTAGGAATTTCCGGCGGGACAGCATCCTCGGTGAGGGCGGCTTTGGAGTGGTGTACAAAGGGTGGGTCGAGGAGAGCACCTTCGCCCCGGCCAGCAGCGACACTGGCATGCCCGTTGCCGTTAAGAGGCTCAGCCAGAAAGGCATCCAGGGCCACAGGGAATGGCTGGTCAGTACTCACCACCAATCATCCCAATTCATTTCATCTCTTCAATTCTGCATGTATGTACATCCACAATCAACATGTCAATGAAATTTCTGGATACATTATTACCGAATGATATGTTCTTAATTTCTGGATCTGTTTCTGAATCCCATGCAGGCTGAAGTGAATTACCTTGGCAGATTGTCGCATCCCAATCTGGTGAAGCTCCTAGGCTACTGCCTCGAAGACGTGCAGCACCTACTTGTCTACGAGTTCATGCCACAGGGAAGCTTGGAGAACCATCTTTTCGGGAGTAAATGCAATTTCTAACTCTCTTCTAGCCTTCCGTTGATCGGTCAACATGGCCCAGCTTAGTTACTACTGGGTGAAATAGTGGTTAGTGGGATAATAACAACTTTGATTGAATGGTGACGTAGGGAGCTTAAATTTCCACTCACTGTCATGGAATGTGAGGATGAATGTTGCTCTTGGAGCAGCTAAGGGGCTTGCGTTCCTCCACAGCGACAAGGCCAACGTCATCTACCGCGATTTCAAGACGTCAAATGTTCTCCTTGATTCGGTATGTTTCTGTTTTTGCCTTCTAATTTGATTGAGAAAACAATTTGTTCAGTACCTTGTTGATGCTAGTTGTGTTGACTGGTGGATTGCAGAGCTACAGCGCAAAGTTGTCTGATTTTGGGTTGGCGAGGGATGGGCCAAACGATGATGAGAGCCATGTCTCTACAAGGGTCATGGGCACAGATGGATATGCAGCCCCTGAATATCTGGATACAGGTACTTTACATCAAATGAACAGATAGCTTAATTTGTTCTTCAAAGTCATGACCGGATTAGCGTAAATTTATATTCATAATATGCTTTGGCGTCGTTGAAATGGTTCTAACCTTCAATTTATTGAGTATATTTAGCATTGGGGAGATACTAGAAATGCCCTGAACTTTCAGTATGATAATTTTGATGTCGTCATGAAGCACTGTGAGAAGCAGCAAAGAACACTATTAAAATCCTTGGGTTGGGCGCTGAGGTCTTGAGGAGGTCATATTAGTTAGTTGCAGCACAACTGCTCCAATTTGTCATGGTTACAGGCCTAACTGGACCCCTTCACCGCATGCACTAAACCAGATTGATTAAGTATCACCACCACTTTAATTGTAAGGGAGTAGCAGGGGATCGATCCATAAAGGAATCCTGCATAATCTTGCAGCTAGATAAGCATCCATGTACTTTGTACCAACCGGTCAACGGCGGCCAGTACATGTTCTTTTAGTTTAGTTGTTTGTTCCTAGCCTCCTAGGTAGGGATGAGCTGTGTAGTGTAATCCCCATATAATATTGCTAATGCGTATGCTAATCCATGTTGGGTTATATCCAAGCTGGATCATTTGTCTGTTCCTTTGCAGCATCTGAAAAAACAAATATGATTTTGACGCCTATGGAATCTGCACCCTTGGAAGGAGGAGTATCTAGTTGGGTCTTTCTGAATCTTTGTTTTAACAGGCCATCTGACGACGAAGTGCGATGTGTACAGTTTTGGTGTGGTGCTCCTGGAGATCCTATCCGGCCGGCGAGCCCTGAGCAGGAGCCATCCGTCCAGCGAGCGCAACCTGGTGGAGTGGGCGCGGCCGTACCTGAAGAGCAAGCGACGCATCTCCCACATCCTGGACGCGCGGCTGGACGGGCAGTACTCCCTTGGCGGCGCGCAGAAGGCTGCTGCACTCGCGCTCCGGTGCATCTCCATCCACCCGAGAGTCCGGCCGGGCATGGAGCAGGTGGTGGTGGCGCTGGAGCAGCTCGAGGACGACAAGGAGACCGTGACGAGTGGTCAGGGGAAGGCAAATGGCGGCGGCACATGCGGCTTCTTCAGGATGTGTAGTGGTGGCCGGCAGCAGCAGCAGCAACCGTAGCCCGCGGTAAGGCGGCTGCACGGGTGAGCACTGATAAAGGATTCATTGTAACGAGAGATGATTTATTAGTGCTTCTTGCTTTTGCAAATTCAGGGTTTTCATTTTTCTTTTCTTTTTTGCTTCTTTGGGCACGGTGATGACTGGTTGAGTTTCTGTTTTGAGGCAACTCCACTGTGTCGCTGGTTTCCCGGTAGAAATGAGCTCAAAAATAGCATGAGAAAATGTCTTTACTTCCATGGATGGATTGATCAATGATGCATGGTAATCAGACCTGATGTTAAATGGTAATCAGTTATGAACTGAACCACTACCGAACTGAACTGTACTATATTTCTAACTGTTTGGTTATCTTGTACATGTTTCCTCCAAGAAATGCTGAAATTCTACCAGCTAGAAACATTTCTCTCATAATAATTTTTCCGTTTCAAAATTGATAGTTATTTACATCCCACAGGAAAATCAAAGGATAATATTGGAGTTGCATAACAAATCTTGACATAATCCAGAAGTAAGTCAGCAGCAAGATTTTTTTTTCCACAGACATGGACGTTCGCATTTGCTGCACACTATGGATTTGGCATAGTCCAACAATCATGTTAATTCTTTTTAGAAGATACTCAACTCATCTTGAAAAAAGGTTAACGTGGTGGAGTTTAAGGAACTGGGATTGTCGTCTATGGCTTTTGGCACTTCATAATTCAAAGATAGATTAGTATATCGTTATTCTTTAAGGGTATTTCATACTTTCAGTTGAGTTAGAAAATCTTATGATCATTAGGGACAATCTCTTTAATCCTTCCTGTAACCATGATGGCACTTACATGCCTTTTACTAGTTCTGTTGTTTGCCATCCCTGGTGCTATACTGCTATGTAACTTGTGTTCTTGCTCTGTTAAATCGTAGCTATGGCTTGATGCCTTGGTTCGATCCTTATGTCATATAGGTAGAATCCCAAGCATTCGTATCAAAATGGCCCGTGATTGTGGATATTTGCATTTTGACTGGATTTTCACCGTGGAATGTATTTATTTCTAACGATGACCTTTCTTTTTAAGCTTGTTTTACTGCTATGTACATTATGTTGATATAATCGCGAGCTGGTAAATACTCCCTCCGTTCCTAAATATAAGTCTTTTTAGACATTTCAAATAGATTACAACATACGGATGTATGTAGACATATTTTAGAGTGTAGATTCACTCATTTTGCTCCGTATGTAGTCACTTGTTGGAATCTCTAGAAAGACTTATATTTGGGAACGGAGGGAGTACATCATATATCATTTGAGCATAAAGATTCATGTGAATGAACATGGAGTCTAAACAGTGTGCCTTGCAGGTACTGTCACACTGTTCATCAGCGATCTCGGGGTACCTAGCACCACATGTTCTATGCAGCTTGTGCTTATTGGTCCAACAAATTCAGATGTCTCATTTTCTGAGTTTTCTTAATGAGAATATTGAATTTTGTTTTCCTTGAGCTAATTTACACAATTTTTATGTACATAATCTTGATCGAAACATTAGTTTTGTTGTTGATGGCAGGCTTAGAAAAGTGTACTGTTATTTGGACTTGTGAAGAGTGCAGTGACTACTTTACAAGGTCATCAGCTAACTCAAAAGGCTGGCGAGAGGTTTTCAGCTCATTGCCTGGAGAGATTGTTCTTGCTTCTTTTGATGGATTTGGTATGTGGTCCACTTTTTATGTCATACTTGAGGCCTATACACTAAAAATAGTTAGTTACTGCTGCGCTTCTGCTTGTATAAGGTAGTCATGTTAGGCCAGCTATCAGCTACTGCAGTCATCGTAGTTAGTATGTAGTACAGGTGGCTGATGGGCGCTCGCCACCGTGTGATGCCATCATACTCCAAAGAGTGAAAATGGTTATAGTTTAATTCGCATGCTGGTTGACCCTACCCCAATATGGCAGAGTCAACCAAAATGTTTAGTCCTGGGAGCACATTGTGTTATGCACTTGCTGTTGTTGTCAAATAGTCTCATACCAAATCATGCATCTCATGATCTGCTCTGCTGTGTCTCGCCGTCAGGTGTGTTGAAGCTCTGTGTGCCTGAACACCATTCTTAAACCCTGTAACAGGGGAACTACTTACTTTTTTGTGGTATTCGATTTTACGTCATCCGGCTTGTGTATCTTGTACTGGTTTCAACAAGAAAGATACATTTGGGACGCCATGGAATTGCCGGGAACGAGAAGGATGCATTGCTTGCCAGGTTCTGCACCATCAAGGCCGCCACTGCTGACCTCCGAGCGAAGCATGGCAAGAGCAAGTAAGAGTCTGAAGTTAGCCCCAGCTGACGTGCTCCAGCTTCGTGTGCTAGAAACCAAGAGCAGATTGCCACCATGATGAATTTGATGAGATGTCCTTGTACCGATGTGTTTCCGAGTGGAATCTTGTTGATGGAAGGTCGAAGCATAGGGAAAATGGTGGTAGAGCGTGACAGAACATCTAAAAAATCAGGGTGGTTATTATTTTTCTTATTGATAACATGCATCAACATAAAAGTAAAAAGTTAGTTTGTTCATGGCCATCTAAGTTTATTCTTCTTGTACTGATGTGTTTCTGAGTCGCTGTTGTTGAGTTATGGAGTCTAGTTGGTTGTGCTTTTATATTAAAAGGACTTGTACCTCTAACCAAGAAATATTCAATCAACATGTATGTAAATATAAATTGTTTATTCTAAGGGACTTTTTAAGTTTTTAAAAGAACTTTGTATGTTTGGAAAGAATCATCGGAAATTTTTCCTCCGAGGCTTGTATGATTTTCAGGATTAGAATCTCTGGGATTTTTCGGCATGGTTCAGTTTATACACTTCAGATGGGGAAATTGGGCTTAGCTACTGTTAAGTTGCTTAAATTTTCACCTTTTCCGTTTCCAATTTAGTTTCTTGTATTGATTTTAGTCTCCTCTACCGTGATTAGAACCTCATGTTGTAAAAGCATTTGTAGTGACCAGGTAACCAACAGCTGCATGCGGCAAGCGGCAACTTCTCCAACGCCCGCCGTCCACCGTCGGCCTGGGAGAAGGAGATTGGGGAAGAATAGAAGGCCAAAGAGGTAGAAAAAGAACTGGTGGCTGGACAATGGCACCTTGACACCGCCGTGAGCTCCCTGCCAAGCAAGCTTCCACTTCCTTTTCTGCCTATTAGACCTTCTATTCTTCTTTCCCTTTTTGCACTTCCACTTCCTCTCCACTTTGGAGGAGGAAGAAGAAGGTTGTGACACTCACCTTCGCTTCCTAGGATGATTACACACGTACACGCATGCCATGTAAAACGTACCAAAAACCGCTCCAAGTAAATTTAATTTTGCGTACATGTTCAGGCAAGCCAATCAAGTGTGCTTTGTAGAGACATTTCATGTCCAACCGAGAGACAGATAGTTTTACTTCTTTCACAAGAGTCAGCAAAGGTAAATGAATAAAAAGAAAGTCATGATTCTGTTCGAGCTTTTATGCTACTACACACAAAATAACCTCTCGTTCCAAGCTTAAAAAGGCATAGGTGATGAAATGATAATTTGACGATACACATATGAGGAAAATGATATACACGTACTCATTCTGAAGGGGCATCTAAGACAGTGATCGCCTTACCGAAGCGCTCCGAGGTGAGCCGTGCCGATTCATGGACCTCCGGTAAAAATCTTCCTCTGATGCCCATATTCAACAAGATAGCATAACAGCATATCTTGGTCGAGACCCGTGGCTGTATTCTCATGTGGTGGTGCTTGGGTCAATCCAGCCACATCTAGGCACAATCTGACTTGGTTGACGACGTCACCTTTCCCAGATTCGACGGGTCACATTGTGTTCCACGGTTGGGCAACGATCAGGCGATGGCGCTTGCAAGAAAATTCCTCGTCTTCCTTTGTCGCATTATTCAGTTTAATATCCATGTTTTGGATTCGTCCTTTGACATCCTTTTTTTTTCTTCTGAATTTTCTTTTATGGAGAAGGGTGGTTGTTCATCCTTCGTTTTGTTGATACCGGTACTTGCAGAAACCAAACAAAAAAAATGAGTTTTACCCATCTTTATCGGATCATGTGTTTAAGTTTTCATTACGGGTTGTCAATCAAACACCTTCTATGTTCCTCTCCTCGTGCATGTGCATCCTCAAGTCCTCAACCCTTCTCCTCCTGACCATCTTTCTGGCGAGGTCGATGCGGTGAACATGCCATCTCCAACTTTCGGTGACAATTTGTGTGCTTGGGTGGCATTCCGCCCAAACAAACCGAAAATCTATGCCCATGTTGAACCGCTACAGTGAAACCCCCCCTCCGGGAGCCTTTCTTCGCCCCTACAACATGCTATAGAAAACCATGCTCATCTGTGGTTGGGCTAGCAAACGAGCACGGTTTTAGAGCATGCATGTTCATACGGGTGCGGGGTGCCAGCCATGTAAAATGACATGCAACAAAATTTGTGTACATGTTCTGTATGGCCCAAGACAGCCTAGCGCATACTTAGAAGATACATTCCATTTTCACTGAAGATACAAACCTAGAGATAGTTTTGCTATTTTGTAAGAGAAAGACTATGCTGGTCATGACTTATGGATATCTACTGGAAGTAGCCAGTTCAACATAAGAACATCCAACCATCCAAGCCAATAACACAACACACCGGCTATAGCCCGAAGAAATGTAGAAAACAAGCGCGCGCACAGAAGCTGCACCAGCCAACATTAACCTTAAAGATGAATGACAATATGGTTTGGTGGTTCACAGATGAGGAGATGATACATGCTTACTCACTCTGAAGGGGCATCTAAGACGGTGATCGCCTTACCGAAGTGCTCAGAGGTGAGTCGTGCCCATTCACGAACCCCCAGCAGAAATCTTCCTTCGACGCCGATATTCTCCATGCCAGGATTAGGGCATATCCAGGTCACGATCCAGGGTTGTAATCTCATGTGCTCAAGAACACAAGCATTTTCCAGGAGACAATACGCAAGTGCCGTCTGAGCCGTGTAACATCGG